GCCGCTTTTTTCCAATCCTTCTGTTGGAAGAAATTTTTCCAACATTTGGCCTGTCTAGACTAGATCAAATGTTGGAAAACCATCTTCTTTTGGAAGCCTCCTCATTCCTTGTGAAACGAGGAATATAGGGGCTGCCCAAAGAGCGTGTTTGCTGGAAAATCTCCTATAGTCTAGCCTCACTGGGTTGAGACAGGATGTGCGAGCTTTGGGGTGGGAATGAGGGATTTAGGTGTGGGAAAGGGTGAGGAGTGCAAGCTTTGGGAAGGAATTTGGATGCAAGAGGAGGTGGAGAAGGGGATGCTGGCTCAGGGAGGGGGCTCCAGGCTGGGGAGTGTTGGGCTCAGGTGGAGGGGTGGGGGGCGACCTCCATCCTGACATCGAACCGTTGATCACTACCCGCTGGGCCCGGCCTTCTAGCCATCTTTCTATCCATCTTACCGTCCATTTATCCAATCCGCATTCCCTTAACTTGCTGGCAAGAATATTGTGGGAGACCGTATCAAAAGCCTTGCTAAAGTCAAGGTATATAACATCCACTGACTTTCCCATGTCCACTGAGCCAGTTACCTCATCATAGAAGCTAATCAGATTGGTCAAGCACGACTTGCCCTTTGTGAATCCATGCTGACTATTCCTGATCACTTTCCTCTCATTCAAGTGTCTCAAAATGGACTCCTTTATGATCCCTTCCATGATTTTTCCAGGAACCGAGGTAAGACTGACCGGCCTATAGTTCCCTGGATCGTCCTTCTTCCCTTTTTTGAAGATGGGCACTACATTTGCCTTTTTCCAATCATCCGGGATTTCGCCCGATCTCCACGACTTTTCAAAGATAATGGCCAAAGGCTCCTCAATGACATTTGCCAACTCCCTCAGTACCCTCGGGTGCATTAAGTCTGGACCCATGGATTTGTGTACGTTTAGCTTTTCTAAATAGTTCCTAACCTGTTCTTTACCCACCAAGGGCTGTCCATCTTCTTCTTGTCTTGCGTCACTTAGCACAGAAGTCCAGGAGCTGACCTTGTCCGTGAATACTTCAGCTTTCCCCACATCATCTGTCACTAGGTTACCTCCTTCATCCATTAGGGACTGCACACCCTCTCTGATCACCTTCTTCTTGTTGACATGCCTGTAGAAACCTTTCTTGTTATCCTTCACATCCTTAGCCAGTCGCAACTCCATTTGCGCTTTCGCATTCCTGATAGCCCCCCGGCATTCTCGAACTATACATTTAAACTCCTCCCTAGTCATTTGTCCAAGTTTCCACTTTCTGTAAGCTTCCTTTTTGTGCTTAAGTTCACCAAGGATTTCCCCTGTAAGCCAATCTGGTCTCCTACCAGGTTTGCCTCTCTTGCTATGCGTCGGGATGGTTTCTTTCTGTGCCTTCAATAAGGCTTCTTTAAAATACTGCCAGCTGTCCTGGACTCCTTTCCCCTTCATGTTAACATCCCAGGGGATTCTTTCCATCAGATCTCTGAGGGAGTCAAAATCTGCTTTTTTGAGGTCCAAGGTGTGTATTTTACTACTCTCTTTCCTTCCTTTGGAAGGTCACTTGAGAGTATTCAAATGCATCCCCACCCTCAGCACATCACCCTGGGCAGGGGCCATGGTTGCTCAGGTCTCAGGCTGGCAGTGCCTGCATAGATACTGCTTTTGAATGAAAAGGTGTTAATGGGCTATTAAAAGGCTTCCTTGTTGGCAGAGTCATTGTGCTGCTTGTTTGGTTATTTTTTTGGATGATTGGGTGCTTGCACAGGAAGATGTGCTTAGGCAAATCAGGATGATGAAAGTAGTGAGTAACTAAGTGCTTTCCAGAAATTGTAGTAGAGTAAAAAATATAATACAGGCAGTCCCCGACTTACGCGGATCCGACTTACGTCGGATCCGCACTTACGAATGGAGCTTTCTCGCCCCGGAAGTCGGGGCGAGAAAGCCCCGTTCGTAAGCTGCTCCGGTGCCCCTGGTCTGCTGGAGACCGTCTCCAGCAGACCAGGGGCACCGGAGCAGCTTACGAACGGGGCGTTCTCGCCCCGACTTCCGGGGCGAGCAAGC